GTGGCGATGGGAATCACCTGCGGTTTGAAAGGGAAGAAGGGTCATCAGCGAAGGCGTTCCCCGAGGGCAACGGGTCCCAACAACAATCGATGCGGAAGAGAAGCCGGTTTGCACCCAACCGTGCACTTCCTCTCCCCGTCTGTCCACCAGGACGAGCTTCTAGTTACTAAAACCAGAGGGATTCCCCACGGAGACAACCTCTGCTCCTCTACACCCATTACATATCAATTCCCTCATTAATTAGGGAATCTAATTACACACACCACATCAATCAAGAGGCATGTGAGCAACTCTGGCAGAAGACTGAGGTAACTGCAAGTCTCTCTCCTACAACCTCTTCCCCCCAGAAGACTCACCGACCCTTAACCACAGCAATGCTACAGCCTGAACTGCTGAAAATTGACGACTTTGGTCATCGCGAGACCCCGAACGCATCAGATTTGGGCGACTTCATCCCCTAAACCCTGCAGGTGGCAGATGACAGCCTCTACTTTCAGCAGAACCAAGTGTTCCGGGGCATGGAAGGCTTTGAAAAACAAGCTCAGCAGCTGCAGCCTGGCACAACTCCTGGTTTGAAGTTCCAGCTCTCGAAACCAACCGTACGAACCTTTCCCAAGCAGGAAAGCTGCGACTGCCAGAACCGGTGCCGGCGAGAAGTTGGGAACATGGAGTTGGAGGGTCCGGAAGAAGCGATCAGGATGAGAGGGGAGCCAGGCAATTTGCTCTGCGAAGATCAACAAAGAGACGCGTAAGAGAAAGGGACTCCTCTACCCAAGACCAGGATAATACTGGGGGGAGGAACGTGCCCAACGGAAGGGGTGCCCCTCGCTGAGCAAGCCTCAAGCAGGAGGAAACGACCCCAGGAAACAAGACAGAAGAAGAGAGAAGAGGATAAGAGGGATAAAGCTGATGTGAGACCGGCCTCTCGCTCCCTGGGAGCCCCCGGGGGTACTCACTGGTTTATTATGGGACAGGACCCCCACGGCCGGGTCCCAGGGTCGCTTCAGCAGCAGCGACAGAGCCTCGGCGCCGGCCGCCCCCGTCTTGGCGGTAGAGGAGAGCAGCATCCTGTCGATCAGGGTGGGGATCTGAAACCAGAGGCCAGAGAGGACTGAGAAAACGCCCCGAAGAGAAATGATAAAGCCTCCATCAGCTTCTTTTAACAAGCTTTATGAAAGGAGAATGTTCTAAGTGACAACAATGCCTTTGGCTGCTTTTATCACCTTTCCTTTAAGCGTTTGCAGAGCATCCAAGTAAGCTGCCAGCACAGGCAAGCTGAGGGTTTCCACTAACGTCGTGTGAAGCCACTGGATCAGTTTGGTGTCCCAGTTCACACTGGCCAGAGCTTGGCGGACCCTCCGAGCGCATTTGTCCACCGCTATCCTCCTCAGGACCGGCTCGTTGCAAGCCTAGAAACCAGCAAATTAAAAAGAAACATCGTTATAGGGGGGGAAATAAAAACATGCATCACCAGAAAGCATCAGCTCGGGCAGCCCAGAGCTCTCTGGCAGCAAGCAAAGACCGATGTCCTCACAGCGAGGAGAAAATCGTGCCCTGAAGAAGCCCAGAGCTGCCTGTTTCTGAAGGCTACGCAACATAAAGCCCAAGTTTCATCAGGACTGAACGAGGCTTTGCTAGGAAGGACCGAGAAAAACCACGTGCCCTGCTGGAAAGCAAAACAGGTTGTAGAAGACCTTACCCCTTCGTTAGCCAAGCGAGCCAGCCTGTCGGACTGCAGCGCTTTGTGGATCTTATTAAAGAGCTTGTTCTGGGCCATGGTCCAGCCCGTCCTGTCGAGAAAACCAGACGGGGGTGACATAGGACATCCAGGTCCTGCAGCCACCGGTGGCGGCACAGCACGGCATCGGCTGGTTTGCCCCAGAGGATTTAACTGGTAGGATGGCTCAGTGAAAAACAGTTTTTAACGGGTGTTAAGGCACGTCAGGGAACATTCAAGCATCGGGATGACAAAATGAACAGCAGGAGCAATAAAATAAAAAAGGAGGTTTAAATAATCCCTCCTTTCAGTCACAGTTCTCAAACAACCTGGCCAAAAAAAACAACCAATCGTCCCTCGTAAAGTCAAGGCTGCAAAGTGGCTCAACTGCAGTTCCAGGGAGGATTTTTAATAGGGTAGAATTGATGCATATTCTCATTTTCAATTTTTGACATCAGAATCTGGCTGAATTGAGGATCTACAGGAAATCGAACAACTCGCTATCGCAACCTCCTCCCAACTGAGGTGACAGCTCTGGGGGAAGCGCGCAGCAGAGGTTCAACAGCCGAGACAGCCTCTACCGTTACATCCAACAGCTTTCCCAGCCACCCAGCGAGGAATTCAGACACGAGAATCCACTTTCTTTAACGGTTATAGAGTTCAGCAACCTCACTGCATGTCAAGTCACGCTAAAAGAAACCCCCCACTCCATGACTTGCGCCCGAACCTCTTTTCTCCGCGCTACCTGTTGACGTGTTCCTCCCAGTCGTCGGGCGGCGGAGGGGCGTCCGCGTCCGTGCGAGCGAACATGACGTGGCGCTCG